AACCAAAGGAAGGCAGTTAAGCATTTTCATAGGACAAAGTGTTCTATACCATTCAAATAATAAAATTAAAAAAACATATTTTCAAAGACGTCTCATCTATACGGGAATACCATATTATTAAAAAAACATTTGTATACACGAGCTTTAGAAATCATCCAAGCTTATGCCAATTTAGCCCAATTAACGTATTTACAATGTTGTTTCATTGAGAGAAAAAAGTACTAAACATCTTTGTATACCGAGAAAATGCTTTACAAAATATAGTTTGCAATTAGCAGAGTCCCAGGGTTCGAAGAAACAATTGGATTGCAATCAAATGATAATTTTGAAACATTGACGTTGTAACTCGATAGAGATGGCGATGTTGTTGATTGTTGTTACAAAAGCTTTGTCCTAAATCATGCCTAAAGTTCAGGCATTTCTTCTTCTTTAATCAGTTAGAAGTGAATATGCTTCTTATATTTCCTGTTTTTATTAAAATTGACGTTAAGAGAAAAACGAAGGTGTAAAAACAGTGAGGGAGAGAGGAGGACCTATATAGTGTGAGAGTGTCAGAGGAGAGAGAGAGAGAGAAAGAAAAGAAAGAGGAATAAAGAGCGAGGAAAGAAAGAGAGAGAGAGAGAGAGATAAGGAAGTAGGGGAGAGAGAGAGAGCAAGAGAAAGAGGGGAGATGAACTCTTTGACTCGTCAATATAACCACGATGACACTGCCACACGGTCATATTTGTTTTTATTTGCTTACTTATTCCCGGGCTTTCGAATTAGAAGTGAAAAGAGAGAATAGAAATTTGATTGTAATGATGCGAATGAGCTGCGCACTGGGCTCGTCAATGTCTCTTGATTGAATTTGGATAAGGCTTCCAACGAATTAATCAAATAATAAAACATCAAATGACATATTGATAGAACTTTCGTATGGAAATAGCCATTCACATTCAATTCTTGAAGAATTTGGAATTATAATGTTCTGATTCGATGCTAGCATCAATGATTTGTATTGATTAATTAAGTTAATTAATAAATAGTACATGCCAAACATGAATTATGAGGATGTAACGCTGTGATATTATAAAGGTAATACAGTTCTCAGGGAAATTCATGATAAAGGAGCTATGAAAAATGTTGTTATGACTTTTTTTGACACTTATTCCTATAAATATTTCAAACTGCAAAAGTGCACTGCATCTGAATACAAAGCCTATGTAAATGTTTGTACCAGGAGGGGGGGGGGGGGGGGCTGCCGATGTCATGTTGATCTCTGAACAACTTACTACATGGGATAATGAACTACTCCAGCCTACAAAAATATAACTTTCCTACAGTTGAGCACTTTCAGTACCTGTCATAATCTATTAAGTGTGCGTGTGGGAGCGGTGTGTTTGTTACTTTTCGCATTGTATTTTTTTTCTTCAAAGTGAGTGGCTAAAAACTGTTATAGGCCTATATAAATATTTAAATATAACATATTAAAATGCTAAGAAGAAAAATGTTCATTGAGATACAGAGAGAAAATAATAGAAATTATACCAATTCACAACACTTGATAGAATATACAAGAAGCATCGATCGAAATTGACAAGCGCTTTCGATATATTATCATCAGGTGAAGTGAGAGTTTCATGGTTTTACATGCATGGCTACTTGTGTATAATGATATAGCCATGTCAAACCATGGAACGCCCATTTTACCTGACGAAAATAAATCAAAAGCACTGGTGAAGTTCCATCCATGCTCCTTGTATATATTCCATCTACCGTTGTGAATTGATATATTTGTTTACTATAGAAACATATATATTATATCTAGTAGGTTAACAGTAAATACACTCCCAAAACCTATAGTCTATTGCTTCTTTCTGTCTTCTCTTCATCAGGGCAATAAGCATTTGCGAATTTCCCAACAGATTTTCGCGCGCGCGCGTGTGTGTGCAGGGGCGGATCGACGTAGCGATTATTCCGGCCCGGGCCCCCCCTAAATACTTTATAAAACAAAAATCAAAAGCGCTCCCCCCCCCCCGCTTATTCGCCGTTTTAAGATTTGGCTACCCCTCCCCTTGACGCCGTCTGGATCCTCAGCAGGCGCAGATCCACGGGGGGGGGGGGGGCTGACGGGTCAACAATTTTTTTTTTTTTTTTAAATCTCACGAATTAGGTGAAAAAAAAACAAAAATAGTGGTCTCACCCACCCCCCCCCCCCTTATTCACCGGCTGACTGAGTCGGCGCAAAATATTTCCTGAAAAATTGGACCCAAAAAAGTGCCTCCTACCCCCCCCCCCCCCCCCCCCCCCCCCCCCCCCCCGCCCCCCCGCCTCCCGCTTATTCACCGGTGGCTGAGTCGCAACTAATATTTTCTCACGGATTGGGCCCCCCCCCCCCTCTTCCCGCCGGCTGGATCCGCCACTGTGTGTGTGTGTGTGTGCGCGTGTGCGTGTGTGTGTGTGTGTGTGTTGTGTGTGATGTGTGAGAGGGGGTGCATCCCTCATCTACCATCTCTTGTCTGCCGTGACGTCCCTTTTTTAGCGCAAAAAATAAATTCAAGCTGAAAATTTACCTGTCTCAGCTGTTAACAAATACTCTCAATTTAGCTTACTCTCCTGTCGTTCGTCAATCTTAGGCTGCGTTCATGCTTAAATTTTGAAGGCAGAATGAGCGATCTGAAACGCTCATCGTAAACGCTCATCGTGATCGCAGTTCCACGATGTAGTGTTCATGCTTACTTCTCTGGCTCCCAAGGCAATTCTACGTGTGTGGCCTTAATTGGTCTTCCAGCTGGATTCGCAAACCTTCACTGTGCATGCTATGCTACGTAGACCTACTAGAGGTCAGTGCGTTGACCCCATTTAAACGCGTTTACAAATTGTAAACGCATCTTTTTGTGAGTTTACGATCGGCGATCGTGATCGCCGTTTTTCGGTGATTCTACAAAAGTGAGCTAAGACGCAACCGTGTTTTAAACTAAACGCGTAACAGATGCCTGATTCTGGCCGTCAAAATCAAGCATGAACGCGCCCTTGCGATCACACAAGCCAAACTAATCTTCTTGCGATGTTAAAAAACGTGTTCGTGAATCTGTGTCCAAACAAATTGAACGCAAAATTGGCAGTCGAGGGTAGCCTTACCAGCGTAAAAACACACAGTGATTGGGCAAATTTGAATATCTCATTGGGAGGCGGCCGTGCGGTATACCGCTTTAACCGAAGCCACTAGTTACGGGTAATGAAGACTTTGTTTCTTGGCGCACGTGCGGATAATCGTCGGGTAGCTTCTCCCCACGATTTCATTTTAAAGTGACCTACAAATTTCCCGAGGGACAAGGTAGAGTGTGATTACGACTGTGACAGTTCATTTTCGCGCGGTATTACGTCATAATGTCATTTCGAAAGATTCATGTTTTCCAACATTCGGTTGTCAAGGAAAGTATCATGTGGAAAGGCCCATTATTTTTTTTGGGGGGAGGGGGACTTTTTTCATTCGTGAAGATTTTTTTTTTAAAAGTACTTTACTGATATGTCTTTTATAGAAAATAATTTTCTATTTCAGTCTTCCTTTTCTTTACGCCTCTTTCCTTTACTCTTCCAATCTATTATGAAATGACAACATGTTATTAACGCCATTTACAACAGATGTTAGCTAAGTTTAGATATAAAATTACAAGGAGTACACTTAACAACAATGAAATGGAAGCTGTTGTGGAAGTGGTAGTAGAAGTATTAGGAGGAAAGAATAATGGAAAAGGAAAAGAAGAAGAAAAGAAGGAGAAGAAGAAGGAGAATAAGAAGAATAAACAAACAAAGCAGATGAAGTATTGAGGTATATTTGTGTTCATTGTAACATTTCC